AGAAGAACTGGGTTCCTGACAAAAAAAAATGGACCAGCCCTCAACCATGCATGAAATGCCTTTCCAACTCTGATTTAACCAACAGAGTGGAGATAGTTTGGTCGTTAGGTTTTTTGAAGCTCCAGCCTAGATGGATCATTATGAAAGGCCTTGACATATTACATTTTATTGATGGTTATGAATATTCTGTACCAAAATGTATTGATGCAATATAACAATGTGGTAAGTTATCAAATTATTTAATTAATTAGGGCAAGTCTCTTATTTTTTGGATAAGCTCTAATGTATCTGTAAAAATTAAAATCTGTTAAAAAATGGAGCTTCACCTGATATTTGAATTTTTTTCAACATTTTTCATTATCCCAAGGGGAAAAAAACCTTTATTATTAGAGGTAACTGTTGCATATTGCTTATCTCAGATTAATATAATGCTGGTTGCATTATAGTCCAATTGATGTAAGTTGATTTTTTAACAACCTCATCAGTTTATGAGGAAAGAAAAATGTAAACATGAATATCACTTCAAGATTCATATAGATACTCAGAGGGATTCCCATGATATTACCCTTAAGTATTTCAAGCAGATTGATAAATTATTAATAATGATTTTATGCAATGGCAGACCCCTAGATTTTATGTATCTAAATTGTAGAATGTTAATATATTCAAGTAAAAGATTTTTTTTTGATTTTACAATTTGGTACAAATGCATAAGTAGAATCTAAAATTCATGAGTTAGTATCAGTACTGAAATGTGTTTTGGGTGACTGTAAATCTACAGTATTTTTTTTAAATAGACAATTAAAGAGTATTGATTAGATGGATATTAGTTATTTGCAGGGAATTGGAATGGTCCATGTTAAGAAAACAAGGGATAAGGGTCTTAAAGAATATCAAATATGATATTAAGATGAGATTAATTTAGCCTTTTTTCATGCTTATTAGACACTTCAGAGATTGTTTGAAAAGGCTGGCTGTCATCTTCCCTGTTTTCATTTTTTCTTTTGTGTATCCTTTTTTTCTTAGATCTCTATATTAAAGCAAAACAAAACGATGCTCCAATTAGTCCTAACACAGTAATAAAGACTACAGCTGTTGAGATGTTTATGCTGAGGTCAAGAGTCTTGTCCTCTGCAACTTCCTAAAGCCTTACTCTTGGACATAAGCATCTGCTTGTCTTCATACGAAGTGTATCTTAGGCCAAACTAAAATGGAATCCTCTTTCCCTTCTCTGAAATATTATTCACAAATGTACACAACACTTGAAACTCATTGTGTGTCCTGACTCTTCAGTTTTATCCTTTTGTTCATTTTGCCTTCCTTTACTTTCTTTTTTAAAGAGAGTGTGATGTGAAGGACAAGTTTTCTGATTTTGAGAGAGTTTTCAAACTCAGGAGCATAAGTTCTCTTCTTAATAAAAGTCCATATTATAGAAAGGGTTGGGAAACTTAATAACCATAAGGGCTGCATTACCTGGTGGGCAGGGTAACCTTCCAGATGTCACATGTTACAAGTGAGCAAGCAAAGCCACAAATCCCACACACACACTTTTTTTTCTTATGCAAACACATGGTGATGGGCAAAATGTTTAAAACTGACACCCGCAGTTTCAAGTTCAGAACAGTGCTACTGACCTTACCAGAAGTGTTCCGATGCTGTCCTGACCATTCCAGAATTGGTTTGAGTTTGAAAGAGCCCTTCACTTGAGCTGAAACATTTCAAGAACAGTAGGAACAAAATTGGAACTCTTTTGATAAGGCAGGACATCATTTTAAATAGTTGTTTTGTGTTTGAAACATTTTGTATGTTTTTACGACAGTTCACACTCAGGGAGGCTTTTCTCAATTTTAACTAAAGTGCTTTTTGTGGGGGATACGTTATGAGGAATGAACTCTCCAATATCCACCGCCCCCCTTTTCCCTGTTGACTTGAAAACAAGGAAGCTCATTTTGTCACACCAATATTGAAGTCAATAGTGATTCTCATAGTACTTCTCCCCCACCCCCCATTCTGCTATTTCAGGGTAGAATATAGGCTAGTTGTTTCTTACAAATTCTGATCATTTAAAGGATCAATTCTATGTTTTAGGGCTGGGGAATGATCTTCCTCTTCTCAGTTACAGACTAATTTACTAAAATTAGTTATCAGTTTCAGTAAATATTGGGTCTGAGAGCAAATAATAGCATATTCTCTGCACTGAGCATTAGTTTAAATGAATTTTAAACTAATCTTGGATTTTATAGCTTTTTATGTTCCTAGACTCTCTAATTGCACAGGATAATGACTCAATAGTGATCTCATATAACATAGAGCTTTATCAAAAGAAGCCAGCAGGAACAGTTTTGCTTGTAAAATGTTTATTATAACCTCGAGTGAACAAAAACTTCCAGGCTATCATAACTATCAGAAGAATTTACTTGATTTCATGATCTGAGTCGCTTGGCTTAACGGGTTCTCACTTACAGCCACGCTACCCTTAGCTTGTGTACGCATATGCTATGTTTTGAAATGCTTAATGGAAATGCTGAAGTACTGCTCAGGTGCATAACGTCATTTCTGTCTCTCCAGAATCTCTGTAACTATCCTAACTCAAGTAGGGACATGTGTCAGAGCCTCTCCCCTATAAGGACTTGGCAAGGACAAAATCTTGTACAGAAGATCCCAGTGAAGCCCATCAAATGGTTTATGTAGCAACTTTCTTTTGCCTTTTTTCATATTATAGCTATATGTCCTATAAAATGACAGGCACAATCTGTCCTGGTTTCTAAGCCTATTTGCATAGGGTGTCATTTTTCTACAGGGTTTCTTTAAAGTATGCAACCAGCTTTATGGAATATTTTTGCCCCATAAATTACAGTGCTGTGGTCCTTTCCAAATTCTCAGAGCACCTTAACTGCAGCTTCACCTGCCACATTAAAAAATAATTGAACAGAAGATTGATATCTTGGCAGACACTTTTTTTTTTTTCAGATGTGAATGCATACCAGTTCAACATCTGCCTGTAGAAAAAAATCCAGTTGAACAAGAACAGTTGATGGATTTAACATTGCAGCTTAAGTAGCCTAGGTTGGGGTTTAATGCATACATGACATGATCACTATAGAGCTGGCTTGGGCAGGTCTCTCAATATTAAGAACATTCAGTTCAAGCAGTTCAGCTGAAAAAAATCTTTTGCAACATCATTGTCCCAGAAAATTCTGCAGTACTTCTTGTTGCTCTGTCCCCAGGGTGATCTCTAGACTTCAGTGGTTGCAGCAAGGAATTACTTCTGCCTGGCAAGCTCCCAAGGTCTAAAGTGACATGGAATTCAAGGGAATAGTATTCATACTATAATGACTACTTTAGCTTCTTCCAGCAGATATTTGACAAGAGCAAAGACAATTTATGAGCTCAGCAAATGCAGGTACTCACTGGCTTTTTAACACGCTTCCAGTTGCCTGCTACTCTGTTTTTATTAATTTTTAATAGCATTCACTAATAAAATACCATGGAGCTCTGTTGCCTTTGTGGTGAACGTGCTCAGAAAAAGTAGAGGATGAAGCAGAGTTGCTATCTAGTCCATAGTTGATGATCAAGATCAAGGAGGCCAAAGAATGATCTGCTGATTACAACCATTTGTTTAACGATTGTTTGAAGTTATGACGGCACTGAAAAAGTGACTTACAATCAGTCATGCTTACAACTGTTGCAGCATCCCCACAGTCACGTGATCAACATTTGGGTGTTTGGTGACTGGCATGCATTTACGACGGTTGCAGCATCCCAGGGTCACATGATTGCCATTTGTGACCTTCCCAGGGGGCTTCCAACAAGCAAAGTCAATGGCGGAAGCTGGATTCACTTAACAACCATGGCAAAAAAGGTCGTAAAATTGGGCACAACTCACTTAATGACAGCATTGCTTAGTGATGGTAGTTCCAGTCCCAACTGTGGTCGTAAGTCAAGGACTACCTGTATTATGATTTGATTAAATCTAACCTATCATGATATGCAAAGCCAATTGTGTGAATCAGGCCATTATATCTTTCAGGTTGTTCAATAAAACATGGCTTGAAAAGTCTTGTCTTGGCATTACATGAGAACTTAGTCTTTTCATTTTCTTTTGCAGCGGTTGCTTGTTACAGAGCTGCTGTGATATGAAATTATACATTTATCAATAACTAGAATTGGGAATGTACCCCCCAAGGGATTAAGCCCATTTACTTTCATTGATTCCCTTGAAACATCAATCTTCAGAAGATCCTTATCAGTTTATGAAGATTTACTTAGTAATTCCCACCTGCGTTAGATGAATTAATTTTTCAGCATGCCCAATTCTTTAAGTGTCTATCTTCCCTACTGTTTTCTATCAGAGAAACTCTGTTTTGAGGAACCATAAATACTATTGGGGCTCTTTGATCAAATAATCAGAAAAATTAAATCCCAAGAAGATAGTTTACATTGTAGGAGGAGAACCATGTTAGTCTATGATAATGAAAACCCAGAAGGAATCTGGTAGCTCCTTTTCTGACTAACAGATTTATACGATCTGAAGAGAAACCAGAGCTAATGGGTATTGATATATTAAAAACATCTCCAAAAGGGCCCCCTGTAACTGTGGCAGAAGTTAAAAGAATAATTGCACAACAGACAGCTGGTAAAGCCATGGGAGAGGACATGTTACCTCCAGAAATCTTTAAGGCATTTCCCGATTGGTGGGCCCCTATACTCACCTCTTTGTTTACCTATATCAACGCCACTGGTCGATTACCTGTAGGTTGGGATAATAGTGTAGTAATCCCAATATATAAAAAGGGAGATACTACAAATCCAGCTAATTTTTGACCTATAAGTCTTATTGACATAGGGTGCAAGCTATATGCAAAACAAGACTAACAGATTTTATTAAAAGGCACAAATCTATGTGAGCTGCAACACTTAAGCCTTTTAATAAAATCTGTTAATTGGAAAATAGGCTACCAGAGTCATCCTGATTTTTAACAAGATAGTTTATTTGTCAGAATCAATCTGCAATGCATAGTTGCAAGAAATTGTCATTTATGTTCTAAGATGTATTTTATCATAACATAGAAGCAACATTGAGCTGCTGCTTGAATTGACAATTCACCATCCACCCACAAATTTTCTTTAACAGGCAGATAAGCATGTAGAATTTTCTTGAAGACAAGTAAATATGGAAAGGGTTTTCTGATTGTATGAAGTCTGAAAATTCTCCAACACTTCCCAAACAGCCATCTTTACTAGATAAATAGTTTTCTCTCACCCATCATTGGGATCTGCCTGCCCTTGCAATTCATTTCTCTTGCGTTAAGCCCACGTGCTCCACTAACAGTCCACAAGTAACATTTTCTCTGTGCTTCGTGTTACAGTAAGATCGTATCTGGAAATAAAATAGAAATACTTTCTGAAATGCTGGCAGCTGTTGCAACGGATCTGGCTTCTTGAATGAAGTTGGCTTTTCTGACATTGTCGTAATAGACAAAGTGGAGAAATTAACATGCTCTCGCTCTGTGTGTGTGTGTGTGTTTCCCATGTTCCATTTTATCAGATGGGACAAAGCGCCATATGGACTAAAACGTTACAGTTATGGTGTGGTGGTATGGTCTTTAAAGAAAGCTTTAAAGGTGGCTTTAATAATAGTAATAAGGAATACTAAATAATGTTTATTAATTTATTCTATTTGTATCCCTCTTTTCCAGCAGAAACACAAGGGATTATCTGGTGCTTCTAGTTCATTTGGTCCTTCCTCCAATTTTATACTCAGCAAAACCATATGAGGTTAAGCTGAGATAACAAATACTCCAAAATCATTCACTGGCAATTTGAATCTGGGACTCCCTGTTCATAATCTAGCTACTATATCCCTCCAGCTACTATACCACACAGGCTCTGCTCACTCGCTTTTTTCTTCTGATACATTTTAATTCTATAATAATTATATACATTTACAACTATAACATACCCGTGCTTTCCTTTTCTCATTTTGGGAGATTTCTCCAAGCTGCGCTAATTTGGATGTGAACGGACACATCAAAGAATCAGTACTTTGAATGTCTTTTCTCATCTTTTGACAGTCCTCTTCCTAACATCTCCCATTTGGTATTGTTCACTCTGTTAAAGCACTAGTTTCAGGAGCCAAGGCAATTTGCTGAAAGAGGCATGAACTAGAATCAAAGCATCTACCTGGCTATCTCCTTTGTGAAGGACGATCTTCTGCCAGAAGAGGGCAATGGTCTTAAACTGGAATTGCACTGAAGGAAGTCCAGTGGAGAAAGGTCTCTCTTATCCTGGAGAGAGAAAGAAAGAGAGAGAGAGATTATTTGGTAGAATGGTTGTTTTTGATGGTTGGGAATGAAATATGCTGATCAAACTTTCAGGGATATATTTTCCAAGGCATCACTGGACTCTTCCTTTTGATGCTCACTCATGATTGCTTAACTGTGGCCAGGAGTTTAAAGAGATTTAAAAGACAATAAACACAGCAAGTTTTACCAAAATAAAAACCAGGCAAAAAGCTGTGGATTAACAGTGAGTAATCCTTTCCAACTCCCTGAGCAGCTCAGCAGTTTAATTACACTGAGAAACTAAAAGCTGTTTGGGAAATGTTTCCTTAAAACCAGATGACACATTTGGGCTAGATTATGTGTGTTGATACTGTTTTGAGCAGGAAAGAGCTTTCAGCCCTGAAATGCTAATACACAGAGAGACTAAGAATGTGTGTGTGGTACAGGGGGAGCAGGGAGAATACAGCCAAGGCAAGTGCCAAATATGAGATAAACTGGGGGGGGGGGGGGGGAGACTTACAGTGTTTTCAGTTTGGAAAGAGATGGAGTGAGCCAAGGCAGAACTGGCAATGAGATGAGTTGGTGGGGAAATGTGGTTGGGTGGCGTTTTTTGCCTCACTGTTTTGATTTCAGCTAAAACACACCTGTTCCAATTGCTCTTATCAGTATGATGTGAGTGAGGTCCCATTTCAAAAAGCATTTGGAAAATGCCCAGACTGAACTGTCAGTTTGGTAGAAGGCCCCTCAGGAATTTGGATAGCTACATTTTAAGTAACAGGAGCTGCCCAGTAATGGTATCATCTGGAATAATGGAATTAAATCAGTAGTTTGTACTTTCTCAGCTAAGAAAGTGCATCCTTATGCAGTTTGGTAGTCCTTTCCAAACTGATCATAGATGAATGAGGGTGGAAGAGGCAGGAAGGAAACTTTTGGAGTACAGCAAGCTGATCTTCAGTTTCCTTTCAGAAAGCCAAGCTATGAGCAGAGGAAGGTGAAAATTTATCAACACGTAGAGGTCAAAGTGGGGATGGTGACTGTAGAACTTTTTCCCTTCCATCCTTCATCTGTGCCATCCATAACAGTCTAGTGACAGAGAGGTGCCTGAATATCAAGTCCAGGAAGCTACTTCACATATCTTTGGGAACTGTGGAATAAAGGATAGAAAAGTTTAAGAATGAGATGCTGATTGGTGCAAGGGTGTGAGAACCTGGAAGGGACAATAGGAATTTCAGTTGGAACATGGGGAGGTTGGTGGGAAACTGGGCTGATGAAAATGGCAGCTGTTTCTTAACCTAGCACTCACTGTATACTCAAGGCAGCAGTTGTAGTAGTTGAGAATTAGTATCTGAGAATCTCTTAAGGTTCAGCCGTAGGAAGAAGGCCAAGGAAAAACACTTCTGAAAATGTT